CACTTCTTAAAAGAGCACCGTGGCAGGGGTGGGGAAAGCAGATAAGCAACAGGCAAGAGCGGATGCGAGGAGAGAACAGTCAGGATACACTTAGTAAGAACCCAGGCCAGGGATGACGGTACGGTGGTGCTGAAGGGGAGCAGGCAGAAGAAATCAAACACATTCGGAGATTTAGGAGGGGCAAAATTCGCTTAGAACGCACGGCCTGAATGTGGGAAAGGAGGATCAAGGACCAACAGGGGATGATGTTCACATTTCTAGTTTGGGAAGCTAGAAAATGGTGAGTGGTACCAATCACGGAGAAGAGCAGGTGTGGCAAGAAAGAGGTGACTCTCAGTTGCTGAGCGTGAGGCACTGGTGAAGCGTGCAAGGAGACAAGCAGGTGAACGCATATATAGGTCTGGAGCTCCAAAGAGGTTTTCATGGAAATGAATCTGGGATTTGCCTACAACAGCTGGAAACTGCAGGCACTGTGAGTAGTGGAGATGACATAGGGAGAGGACAGAATGTGAGAAGACAGCCTGTGGCAGAGCCCTAGACAACCACCTCCCTCGGGCATGAGTGGAGGGGAGGAGCACGCGATGAGAGCAACGAACACCCAGACATCGAGGAGGAAGAACAGGAGCCAGTGAAAAAAAAGTACTTCAAGGACAGTCAACAGTGTCTAAAGCTGAGCTGTCAAAAAGAATGAGAAATAAAACTGGTGAGAATAATTCTACCAAAGACAGGATAGGACAGAGAATGAGTAGGAGGTTGGGAAAGAGACAAAACCTATTCAAACGGCTTAACTGTGAAGAGGAGGGGGAATGAGAGATTGAAAAGGCAGGGAGGACATGTGAAAAGTGCAGCTGAGAAGTGTCTGATGTGTTGGATTGAGAAATTAGGATAGGAAAAAAGTGAAGAAAGCAGGGAAGAGTGATAGATTTGGAAGGAACTGGAGGGCCCGAGGGATAAGAGTCTTGGTAATACTGAAAAAGAGGCCTAAGGTCAGAAAACGAATAATGGCAGACTGAAATGAGAGCCTGGGACACCGGAGCTCCAGATTTCAGAAGTGGAATAGGGGCAAGCGATGATAAGGTTCTCAGCCACCAAGGGCAGAAGGAGCTGCAGGAGTGTGGAGTAGCAGTGAAAGTCCCGGGAGTAGATGAAATCAGGGAAAGTGAAGGACAGGCTGTTACGTGAGTCATCCACATCTAGACTCAGGGCACTCAGGAAGACCACAAGACTCAGATGGAAAGGGACACTGGTCAACCAGGCACTGAATCCTAAAGTAGAGGAGATCCCAGAAAGCTAGGAGGTTTACAGTTACATGATATAGCCAGATAGGAGCCTCAAAGGAAAAGAGATGTTTATAAGAAGATGGAAGACTAATGGTTTGGAATAGGTACTGAGGAGTTAAGAGAAGGCCAGCCCCACCTTACAACCCATTTGAAGGGCCAAGGCAGCTCCTATTCAAGAGAGCCGCAGGTTAAGATTTTCTCAGGGAAGAAACTAGATTAATATGAAAGAAGAACATGAAGACTGTCATGCGGAAAGGCTGGGGATATACAGATAAAAGAGAAAAGATATTAAAAGAAACTATCTGAACATAACCAAAGGCCACATATGTAAAGCCCAGAGCTGACACCATACTCAACAGTTAGAAACAAAGCTTTTTCTCAAAGATCAAGAACAAGGCAATATCTTGCCACGTCTATTCAACATGGTTTTGGAAGTCCTAGCCAGAGCAATTAGGCAAGAAAAAGAAATCAAAGGCATCTAAATTGGAAAGGAATAGAAATTATCTCTGTTTGCGGATGACATCTAAAGATTCTACACAGCAACAAACTGTTAGAACAAATTTAGCAAAGTTGCAGAATACAAAATCAGCACATAAAAATCCATTGTTTTTATACATTAACAATGAACAATCCACAAAGGAAATTAAGAAAATAATCCCATTTACAATAGCACCACAAAATAAAGTATTTTGGAATAAACTTAACCCAAGAAGGTGAAGGACTTATATACTAAAAACCGCAAAACACTGCTAAATTTAGAGACACCAATAAATGCACGTTCGTGGAATGGAAGACTTAATAGCACAAAAATGTCCATACTACCCCAAATGAGCTACAGATTTAATGCAATCCCTGTCAAAAATCTCAGTGGCATTTTTTGCAGAAACAGGGAAAAAAAAAACAACAACCCTAAATTCATATGGAACACAAGGGACCCCAATTAGCCAAAATAATCTTGAAAAAGAACCAAGTTGGAGGCCTCATACTTCCTAATTTCAAAACATATTACAAAGCTTCAAAGCTGGTGGTATTGGCATGAACGTACAGACCAACAGAATAGACAACGAGTGATTTAGTAAATACCTGACATTTATGATCAACTGATTTTAGACAAGGACACCAAGACCACACAATGGGGAAAGGGCCAAAATGGATTAGAGACCTAAATATAAGACCTAAGACTATAAAACTCCTAGAAGAAAACACAGGGGGAAAGCTTCATAACATTGGATTTGGCAGTGATTTCTCAGGAACAAAAATAAAAATAGACAAATGGGATTACATCAAACTTAAAAGCTTCTGGGCATCAAAGGACATCATCAACAGAGTGAAAAGGCAACCTATGGAACGGGAGAAAATATCTGCAAATCATGCAAACCATCTCATAATAGGTTAAAGAAGTCCTACAATTTAACAAAAACAACAACAAAAAAACAAGGAACGTGGTTTTTAAAAACGGGCAAAGGATTTGAACAGACATTTCTCCAAAGATAAACAAATGGTGTCTAAACATTTGAAAAGATGTGCAACATCACTAATCATTAGGGAAATGCAAATCAAAACCGGAAGATGCTGTATCGTACCCATTACAATGGCCACCATCAAAACAAAACAAAAACAAAAACAAAATAACAAGTGGTGGTGAGGATGTGGAGAAACTGGAAGCCTCCTGCAGTTGGAGGGACTGTAAAATGGTGCAGCCACTACGGAAAACAGTGTAGTGCTTCCTCAAAAAATTAGAACTACCCTGTGACCCAGCAATCCCACTTCTGGGTATATACCCAAAAGAACTGAAAACAAGATCTAGAAGACATATCTGCACACCCATATTCACTGTAGTAGCATTACTCAAAACAGCCAAGAGATGGAAGCAACCCAAACGTTCATCAACAATGAATGGATGGAGAAAATGTGGTTATATACATGCATATAACAAAATATTATGCAGCCTTTAAAAAGAAGGAAAGCCTGCCATGTGCTACAGTGTTAATGAACCTTAAGAACATCATGCTAAGAAAAATACGCCAGTCACAGAAGACAAATACTGTATGATGCCACTTACCCGAGGTACCTGAAGTAGTAAAACTAAAAGAAACAGAAAGTGGAATGGTGGTTGCCAGGGGCTGGGGGCGGGGAGAGGAAATGGGGAGTTGTGTTTAAAAGGTATAGAGTTTCAGTTTTGTAAGATGAAAAAATTCTAGAGCTCTGTTGCACAACAATGTGGGAATATACTTAACACTCCTGACTGTACACTGAAAAATGGCTAAGGTGACAAATTATGTTATGTGTTTTCTACTACAATTTTAAAACAAAAAGACCACATAGTACTACAGAACATAGGAGAAAAATTTGAGAAAAGGAAGAGCAACAGGAAAATAAGGGTTTCCATTCTGAATGTACCCTTGAATGTCAAGGGTGGAGACAGAGCAAGAGGAGGCCTCCAGGCTCCGACAGCATTTCTGTTCAAGCTGTTTCAGATCTAATTAATTATTAGGGTATCTACAAGACATCCTGAAGAGGGTACACGGTTATTTCCGCAAATTTTCACCTAGTAGCAGAAATGGGCGGTGATCCCCAGGGTGTGGGAGGTTCTTCCTGCTTGCATTAGCTGTGGCCTGGACCGGGGGCTCCTGCAAAGGGAATCCTAGTTCCCACGTGGCAGGACGTGTAAGGACTCAAGGGTGGTTAGAAAAGGGAGAAAAGGCACACATTATATGTTTCATATTCCATTTGTCAAAACATTCTCTCCACCTATTTTTTATATATATGATACAAATTTTAAGCTTCTCAGGTCTGTTCTTTACATGCTAATAGAAATCAAGCACTGAGCCTTGAGAATACTTAGGGGGGAAAAGGGGGACATGTTCCCTTTAATCTACAGCTGCCAAAAAACTCGACACCATGTTGCATCCTAAGATTATCTCTGACAGGGGCAAAGATGAACTGAGACAGTTCATCAAAAGTATCAGTACGAGAATCTCCTTTCCACTGTGGAGACTTCCTTTACAAAAGCTGTTTTCTGTTTAACAAACCAGTCATTTAAGACACCTGGATGGAGGCAGGGTGTTGTTAAATACTCAAGATGTAACCCTTAATCCCCAAAAGAAGGCAATTTAATTGGCTTTTAGTTATTTATATAATTTTTACACAAAAATCTTATTACCATGTTAAACCAGAAGGGAGCTCTAGCACTTTCTTCTCCCTTCATGCCTGGAGGCAGCTAATAAAACCATTGAATTCCTTATTCAAACAAAAGGTGTGAAAGTCTTTGTCTCCTTTAAATTAATCCGGGCTAATGGGATAAATGTGGAAAAGTCACAGGGGTTGGAACAAGCAATTTCAGTCAGGGTCCAACAGCAGCAGTGGTAACAGAAGAGACCGTAGTAAGAAACTGAAGGAATAACATCGCAAGGAGACGTAGGAGGTCAACCCCAGTCTACTAAGAACGTGGGAGCGGACTTCCCTCTCAACTTCCTCAGCTTCTCACTACTACAGTCTCCTATGTCTACTGTCAGCCAGTGTTAACAGCACTGCTAGCTACAGTGTTCCAGAACTGGTTACAACAAGAAGCCTTTGTCTTTGTAGTTTGCACATTTTAGTTTTACACCACAATGCTTTACAGAGATGAGCATAGCTGAGCAAGATCTTGACCTGAGGCCCTTTTTTTAGATGGTTTTGTTGCTGGAGGTAAAGGTGGAGTGGGGGCTGTTGGATATTTACCAGTGTTTTCCATACAGCCAATGGCCTCCCCATGTCAGCAGGCAGATCCCAGCCGTTGTTTTCTTCCAATGATTTCTAAGCGTTTTAAAGAACACGGTCATCTTCTCCTCAGGATTTGCTAGGTTAAGAGAGGCAGAAAAAGAAAAAGGTAAGTACCCCAGCTCACTGCGTAGAGGCCCCCCGACTGCCTTCCATCCACCCGTCATGTTTTCCTTCCCTCGTTCCTGTTCCTTCTTGCCCCTTCTCTGACCTCTTCCCAACTGCTCCCTTCCAGGCTCATCACCTTCATCTTCTCACCGCCCACCTGCCCTTCTTCTTTCTTTCTTCACTTCCTTCTACCTAAACTCACTTCTTCCCTCTCTGCTCACCTGAACCTCACTGTATTAGAAGTGGAGAAGTGCAGAGAAGGGAATTCCAGGCTTCCTGCTTTTTCTTTCTCCCTACATTCACTATACCACTGTTTAAGAGTATTTGTCTATTATATATAAAGGACTCAACAATAAATACGTACTATAAAGCGCTTATTCAAAACAGAGGAAAACACTAGCCCCTCAATAGGAAAATAAGCAGAGAATGTGCACAGAAAATTCAAAGGGCAAATGCAAATGGCTGTGTGAAAGAGTTCAACTTCCTAGGTAATTGAAAACATGCAAATTACAAAGAATTAGCACTATTCACCTCTAACACTAGTAAATTTTTACATGGTCATATTCACTAATGACAAAATGAAAGGAGACAGACACACTCATGCACTCCTGTAAGCATAGTAAATTCACACAACTTTACTAAAAAACCAAGTGACAATATGGATCCCTATTCTGTTTGTTTTCTTCACAGCACTTATCATTTGGTGATCTTATTTGCTAATTTGTTTATGAGCTTATCCCACTGGAATGTCAACTCCACAAGAGTAAAGACTTTGTTCTGGTCACTGCTGTATCCCCAGTGCCTAAAATAAGATCTGGCACATAATAGCCATTCAACAGCTACCTGCTGAATGTCACAGGGTTCAGGACATACTACCCCAAAATATGGCAACTTAGCATATTGAGTATTTTAAGCTAAAGGAGGTTGAGACAATGGCAGAAGCAGGAAGGTCCCTCTGACCTCCCCACCTGACCCTTCTTCCCTGAAACAGGTCATAAAACCCTCATCTATGAAGTGCCCTCCCTAAACCCAGAAGAAAGGAGCATCATCTCTGAAGACAAAGGGATGCCAAGAAGAATCCTAATAAACAGGCCTTGCTAAGTTTCCCCGTTTACTTTGATTTCCTCATACTCAAACTAGCATATTCCTTCACGACTGTCCACCCTTCATCAAACCTAATTTTTTATTCACTTGAGGAGAAACCAAGAAAGGTTTGTACTTAGGCAACTAATTGAATAAGGCTTTCGATCGTTAGATTTGGAGTGTAGGTTTGTGGAGAAAGGTAGCATGTGCAGTTGAGATAGTGAGTTTGAGATGCCTGGGGGATATCCAAGGGGACATTCAAATGATCAGTGGGTGTCTGGATCTAGCAGTTTGAAGCTAGGAGAAATTGGGTAGAAGATACAGATTTAGGACTCGTCAGTGTGAAGGAGGTCAAGTTTGAGTGCACATAAAAATCACCCAAGGCAAGGGCAGAAGGGGGGAAAAACGCCAGTACTGTTAGAGAACAATCTGAGAGTCAATACAAGTCTGTTTACAGGCCATCCATGATCCAGTGAACTCCCTTTTTGTCACAAAACAGTGATTCGTGCATAAAAACGTGGAAACACACAGGCAATCTAGTGAAGGACCCTGAGGCCTAGATTCCAGAGTCGCTTTATCACGTCCTGACAGTGAGAACCTGGGTAAGTCACTTGGCCTCTACCTCTCTTTCCCTGTCAAATGAGAACACACCACCTGCTCTGATTAACTCGGCTGGCTGTAAAAACCACATCTGATGAGGTTGTGAATGCACATTACTCATTAGTAAGATGAGGATACAACACCTGCTCTGATTAAGTCATTTGGCTAAAAAGATCACATCTAAAGAACTGTGAATGCACTTTGTAAATTTTTCTGGACTTAAGTTGTCATGACAATGGGCAATATATGAGCCAACAATGCACATTCCTTCTAACTACCCAACAGAATTCGTATTCGTCAATCTCAGTTAAGGTCTAAATTTTATATGTTCAAATTAACATCTCTCCTCTGTAAAGCAGGTTGGCCGGCTGGTTGGTTGGTACTGTGTTTTATTTGGTGGTTGTTTTTTTTGTTTTTTTATATACATACTTTTTTTTTTTAAAGATTTTATTTATTTATTTGAGAGAGAGAATGAGAGATAGAGAGCACGAGAGGGAAGAGGGTCAGAGGGAGAAGCAGACTCCCTGCCCAGCAGGGAGCCTGATGTGGGACTCGATCCCGGGACTCCAGGATCATGACCCGAGCCGAAGGCAGTCGCTTAACCAACTGAGCCACCCAGGCGCCCTTATATACATACTTTTAAGATTTTATTTATTTATTCAATTGACAGAGAGAGAGAGAGAGAGAGAGAGAGAGAGAGAGAGAGAGAGAGAGAGACAGTGAGAGAGGGAACACAAGCAGGGGGCCCGGGGGAGGGAGAAGCAGGCTTCCCGCCGAGCAGGGGGCCCGGGTTTTGTTTTTTTTAAAGAACTCCCAAATTCTAATTGTACTGGGCCCTCCTCACCTGTAAGGTGGGGATTTTCTCACTAGACTGTGAACCCCTCACGGGTAGGCGCTGTCTATGCATCTCTAGCAAACACAACGTAGTAAAGCACCTAGAATGAATGAACCCATCAATCCACCAATCGATCAAAAACGATTCTCCCCGTTCTGCAAACGAGCCGAAGCCCAAAGGGGAAAAGTGAGTAAGGGTCACGCAAGGCAGCAACAGCTCTGGTCCCAGAACCCAGGCCAGCTGGCTCGCAGAGTGACAGCCGGGACCCCGCCATCCCGCGGGGCCCCGGCTCCCACCCTCCGGACGCCCGGCCCCCGCAGCCCCCGAGGGTCTCCCCGCCCCCCGGAACCCCCCGCCCAGCCCCATCCCAAGGCCCCGCGCTCCTCTCCCCGCCGCGGCCCCGCGCCACTCACCCAGGCCGCTCCCGCTCACCGCCCTGCCTTCCTGTGTGCTCCCTCAAGCTTCCCCCGCGCTTTTAAGGGAAACCGCGCCGCCGCCCTCGGGTTCCGCTGCGCCTTCCGACGCGCGGGGGCCGCCGCCTGGGGGCCGCCGCCTGGGGGCCGCCTGCGTTTCTCCTTCGCTCCTTGATTCAATCGTGCGTCCCTTCGCCCATCCGCTTGTCGCTAAACAGTATTTGAGGGGAAGCCTACCAAGGCAAACACTGTTTTAGGACCTGGCACTAAATCGGAAAAATAAATGAACCGGCAAATTCAGATCATAAGTACGAAAGAAAGAAAGAAACAACGAACCGCATGATATAAAGGGAGCGAGCGGGAGAGAACTAGTCTACATCGGGCAGTCCAAGTTAGCCTTTCCGTGTAAGGGGCACCTGATGTGAAGGAGAGGCTGCAGGTCCGGCAAAGACCCCGGGCAAGCGAGCGCCTGGCGGAGGGAACAGCCAGTGCGAAAGCTCTGAAGCCTGAGGCCGTTTGGCAGGTGGGGGGCAGGGTGGGCGAGACTAAGGAGTCGACTGGGCGGTGAAGCTGGGGAGGGGGCCGTGGTCCGGAAGGAGTTTGCACGTCATACCGACTGGGATGGGAAGGCATTGAGGGGATTCAGCCAGGGGTATGATGTGATCTGGTTCTGTGGTCGCGGTGCAGTGAGTAAATTCTAGAGAGCAAGAGAGCTACAGAGAAGCCAGGGCCCATGCTGACCACCAGGCAGCAGTTCTTTTTTTTTTTTTTTTTTTTTATTTATTTTTTTGAGAGAGAGAGAGAGAGAAACAAAAAGAGAGGGGAGAGGGTCAGAGGGAGAAGCAGACTCCCCGCTGAGCCGGGAGCCCGATGCGGGATTCGATTCCAGGACTCCGGGATCATGACCTGAGCCGAAGGCAGTCGCCCAACCAACTGAGCCACCCAGGCACCCCCACCAGGCAGCAGTTCTAATTCCGTCCTCCAACCCCCAGGACCTCTCCCCTCCCCCACCCCCACATTAGTGTGGGGACTAAACCAGTCAATCCAGGTTTCTTACCTTCTTCCTTTCGTCATTCCATCAACCAGCTTTGCGGAATGTGGAGTATGTGCTCGGCACTGGGGCTTGCTCGTGTACCGCACCTCTCATGGTTCCTGCCTCCATAGAGCTTGCATTCTAAATTCCCCGTTTGATACATATAGACTGTCTTCCGCTACATGTACGTTTTAGGAAACATGAGGACATCCAGAAAGGTGGTGCAGTAAAGTATACTCTGCCAGCTTCTAATCCTTACTGGGCCACGCTAGATCATGTGAACTTGCTGGCCCTCTCTCCCGAGGCTGTCTGTAAATTGGGGGAGTGAGAAGATCATCATAAAACACATCTTCTAGCTATAAAATGTTGTAACATTGAAGGTATGGGAGACAGTTATTTTCACTTCTCTTTTCCCAACTATTTAGAACATTTGCGTTTGAAAATGAATTGCTGAACTGCGTCCCTGTAAGGCTAGAAAAATCTGGGACTACAGGCCTGATGGTCCAATGGGCAGACTAAGCTTTAGGGCTTCCGCAAAACAGTGGTTTCCAAAAATGAGAAAAGTTCTGCTTGGATAAACGTACCATGATTTTCCAATCAGAAAATCTAGAAAGAAGTTTTTTTCTTAAAACTTAGGAGAGGAAAACTTGATTCTGAGTTGGAGCCATGGGCTGTTGGAAAGATCAGGCATCACAAGGCAGATGCCCAGAAAGCCTATGAAGAAGGGCGGCAGGTCTCTACCATCTGGGAGAAAACCATACCCCTGGAGAGAGGCAGCCCCTCCATGGAGGGCAAACACAGACATGCACAGCATCACAGGCCTCACTTAGGACCATCCCTAATTGAAAAGTGCTCCTGGGGGCGTTGGGGAATATTTGTAAGTTTACGTTCTTTCTTTAATACGAAGTCTTCGATTCACTGTGGCCAGTACGGTGGTGAAAGGGGATGGTGATGTCAGCCTGTTGTGTTCCCAGCAGAGAAATCTGGAAACAACTCCCAGGTTTCTGCATGGATTATGAAACTAGAAAAGATGAGACATCTCCACGGAATAAAAACCTCAGAATTACATACGCAAAAGAGGAGTGGAGGAGGGGGCGGGGCATGGCAGGTCTCTGAAAGAGACCTTGTGTTCTCTCTTTAAATTTCATGCTTGTATAGATAGAAAGAGGGGGGCCTATGACTCACATGTCACCTACAAATGGGAAATATCTGCATCAAAATAGGACTAAGTCATAAATTAGTCATAAATTCATCTTCCAGGAGTTAACTGCACCCATTACAGGACACGTATTTACTGACATTTTAATGCATTGTCGTAGTATCCCGTTTAGTTTTGAAGTTATATAACTCATGCTATTAATATTTTCCCTGTAGTAAGGCTACCGTTGGCCCTTTGGTTAAGCTAACGATTGTCCCCTCGAATCATTTCCAGAGGGACACTGTCCCCTCACTCCCATCCTATGAGGGATTATAGTGAAAGCCACATCTTAAGCATGTAGCTTGTAAATGTGTAAGGACAGGACACACATGATGCTCAAACATGGAAACTTCTCAAATGCTCTTTTCAGGCATTATTTACCAGCATCGAGTGTTGTACATGGAGATGTACCACCTGTTGTCCCAGCTGCTGGGAGTGGTCCCCTCCAGGGACAGACTCCAATGCAATGAGTCATCTTCACCAATGTCACACCCTTCTGGAGGTGGCCCCCATCCAGGGACTGATCTAGGAGGGAGTTCAAAAGCTCGGTCATTTGGCCCAAAGCAAAACGTCTCTGGGAGCCCCATAGCTCTTCATGGGGTCAGCCGAGCCTGTCGGATACAACCTAGCTCCGCTTTTCCCTCTGCCCAGGCTTGTGTCCTTCTCTCCTTCACCAAAAGTGGTGGTGCTAAACACCAAACACTGTAGTAGAGAGAATAATAACCCCCTAAAGATGTCCTTAACCCCTGGAATCTATTAATACTTTGCAGGGGTGATTAAGTTAAGGCTCTTGAGATGAGAAGATTATCCTGGATTATCCAGGTGGGTCCAATGTAATCACAAACCTTTTAAGAAGGAGACCAGAAATCAGAGAGGCGGGCAGTAAATGTGAAAATGGTAAATAATTTATAGGTTATGGGTAATATTTGGGAAATCTGGGTGAAGAGCATACTGCCAGGAGGGGGTTTACGATACTCATAGTTTACGATACTCATAGTAATCCCTCCTCCAGTGCCAGGGATTGGATTAAAAATGGAACATGTAGCTCTGTTTAGATAAAGGGCCTTAAGGACAAGCCTGCTGAGAGATCTCAGGAAAGGTTTCATTCTCCTGAAAAGGGGGGAATTCAAGAAAGGCGATGAGCCTTACAAACATTATGGTCGTTATTCTTGGTGAAATAAGCCAGTCACAAAAGACCACATACTGTGTGATTCCGTTTCCACGAAACATCCAGAACTAGCAAATACGGAGAGATGGAGAGTGGAGTAGAGGTTGCCCAGGGCTGGGGTCGGGGATGGTTGGGGAGAAATGGAAGATGATTGCTAATGGATATGAGATTGGTTTTGGGGATGAAATGTGCTACAGTTGGTTGGGGTGACAGCTGCAGGACTCGAGGAAGACAGTAAGGGGACAATTGCATGGTACGGGAACTATATTGCAATACAGCTGCAATGAGAATGAAAGTGATGGATTTCACTTTCTCCCTCAGGTAAGATCATACATGTACATAATACCCAAAATTGCTGAGGTGTTGAAGCTGAAGGGATTCCATCTTAGAAAGGCTCCGACTAGGGCACCTGGGTGGCTCAGTCATTAAGCATCTGCCTCCGGCTCAGGTCATGATCCCAGAGTCCTGGGATCGAGACCCTCATCAGGCTCCCTGCTCTGTGGGGAGCCTGCTTCTCCCTCTCCCACTCCTCCTACTTGTGTTCCCTCTCTCTCTATCAAATAAATAAATAAAAATCTAAAAAAGAAAAGAAAGGCTCCATCTCTGCTGTTTTTCTGCTAAGCCCCATTTACTCACGTTCTGTATTTGCTTCTGAATAAGTCAAAGAAGCTATGTTTCCACTTCAAGGGGGAAACAAGAAAGGTAACCATTTCTAGTTCTGCCCTAGCCCTCCAAACACCTGATAACACCTAAGAAGAGTGAGATCCTGACCACGTTCCAGGACATTAGCTTCAGACCAACCTCTGCTGATGCTGGCATCAATACCCCTACCTTTGGTAATTTATAACACCTATTATTCACCCGTCACCTGCCTTTGATCAGACCCTACCCTGGATTCTTAAAGGGACATATACCCTAGACCCCTTTGCAATATAAACCCCTAATCCCAGGCGATGACGAGACTCATTCTCCTTTGCTTTCTGAGTTTCCCCGTGACTCTGTCTGCTATTCTTTACCAGTCACTCACACTATTCAATAAACTCAGTTTTCACTTCTTCCAGCTTACGTTTGATTTCTGTCCTGCATGAAGCCAAGAACCATCTTGGCTGGTCCTACAGGACCTTCCTCCGGGAGCTCAGAGCCAGCCTGCCTGCATCACTGCCACAACCCGTGTTCAGCCATGAAGGGAACCAGTTTGGGCCAACGCCAACTTACAGAAGATGGGAGGGAAAAGACAAAGAACCTGGGTCCTCGATGACATCATTGAGCCACATGGTTGTACTGTGCCTGGAGCTTGCTCAAACTCTGGACATCCTATTACAGGAACTAACACGTTCCCTTATTGTGTAAGCAAGTTAAGAGTCAGGGTTTTCTGTTTCTTGAAGCCAAGAGCACTGAACTGGTAAACTGCAAGCCACAGGCTATTGGTGGTTAGAAGACACAGTAAAGACAGTCTTTTTAAAAGA